TTATACCTTAATGTGATCTAAGTGACTTATTTAAGCAGAGATGTCGGCCTACAGGACATCTTAGAAGGAACACACCTATATGAGTTCAACTGCTAGTCACAGTCTATGAGATGTGGGTAGTCTCTAGATACTCACGAAAGATCTAGGAGTTTGACTTATATGCTCCAACCAGAGGGGATGCTTTAGGTAGCCTTGTATCAGTAAAGGACTTAGGTGAAACTTATTTCGCATAAAACTGTCAATTCAAGGCATAGTTTATTGTTCAGTTGTGAAGAAGTGTAATCTCTATTCTATGTGGATGTTCAACTTAATAGTCTCCTCCGAAAAACTGGTATATCAAACAATTTGCAGCACTGAGAGCATTTTCTTTGCCTTCGAATTTGGTGGGGATTGTTGGATTTAATTGGGTTTGTCCAATTTTTATTCAGCAATTAAATAAAATGAAATTCCAAGGTCAAAGTTAATGCTAGGTATAATTTGTTGGGTCCTTCATGTGGTGTAACTTATGGTTTGATGAGGGTTGATGAGAGGTTAAGTGCATGATGACCATTATGTGTTGGTGGATCATGATTTAGTGGTTCATGGTGTTATAGTGGGTTCCGTTACTAGTAACGGACAATTCATTTGTCGGTTTCATAAGTTACTTGTAACAGACAATGACATGATGACTACTAACTCTTCATGCACCTAGCTCTTCAACTTCGTCTTCCTTTGTCACTGCATAAAAGGGACACTCTTTCTCTTGTACATGAGAGAGAAGAGAACACATAGCCAGACACCATCACGCTGCTATTGTGCTGCTCTCTGCCATTCTCATCCCGGTTCCTGCACGCACAGGAATAGGGAGAGCAGGCCTCTAAAACTGGCGTCGTTCGAGAGTTCATCTGCTCGGGTGAAGACCGGCAATCAGATTTTTGGGGAGCGTCTTCACGCGACTGCCCACTCGTTCGTTCTTCTTCCTGCTACTTCTCGACGGCTTGGGGTAATCGACACTGCAACGTTACTGCACTGCATCATGCAGGACTACTACATCGACAATCGCTATGTCAACTAGCGTCGGCTCTGGTGCCGCTGGGTATGCTGTTGCAACCCGTCCTTTGTTATATATGATTAAAATCATGATGATTAGTATCATGTACATGTTTGTTGCACTTAGATCACACGTGCATATGTTTGATGTCACAAATATGTTATTTATAATTTTCTGGATTAAATTGGTACTGAATTTGTCTAAATTTCTAACAGGAAATCTTAATGGGCTGGTTGGAAACGAATGGTAAGGACCAGCTATCTTCTTCAATTTTCCGCAAACATGAATCTTCGCGCACGTCGTTGCTTGGTAAACTAGATGATATCCCGCACGTTGCTGCGAGAACTTATAGTATTGATAGGAGTAAGAATTGATGGAATAAAAAGTAGTAAAATCATAAAGTTAAATATGTTTTTTATCAGAATCATCTATGGGCCAGAATGCATTTTTTGATATTAAAGGAATTCACCACGTGTTTGATGCGGCAATTAGAATAAATTTTTGAGTAGCATGGATTAATAAAACAAATAGTATTATATGTTCATAAGCAATAGGCAAATAAATCTTTCATAGTACATCCTTTAAGGAGATCGGTTTGCTTCTATGTATGGTCAACACTCGTTATAGTTTGCACATTGTTATATGTACGTATTCATAGGGAATTTTTTAGCTGCTAATAATCAGTAAAACAAATCAATTGCTTCCACGAAGAACCACTATGCACTCTAACGACCAAAACAGAAGTGGTGCATGGTCATTCTGATCCTATTTTTTATGTCGCGGACGTGGAAACAATGATGCTTTCATTCTTACAGTTACAGACGGATCGACAACCATTTATAGCTCCTGCTCACTCCACACTCCAGCAACTCATTTGAGTGAAACTGCATATCTATTGAAACATAGAACATGTAAAATGAAAGGAACATGGCCGCACAAACTTGTTCAATAAAAAGGCAGCCCAAGATAGTCGAATATGGGTGACGTGGTGGCACGAGAAGGCAGGAAAATATTATAGTGGGCTTCTCCTATTTATATATAGAAGATAGAAGAAAGAAGATAGAACATAATATACTGTTGCATTAAATATGATCATGAGCTGCCCAACCCAACCCACAAGTTGGGTGGGTGTAGGCCGTCGATTTTGACCTAAAGTGAAAATAAGGTCGGGGCGAGAGCTGATTTTTAGCCTCCAGGCCGACCTGACAAAAGAATAAAAATTTACTACATCCCACACTTTTGTTTATTCAATAAAATAGTATTTTGATCTACAACTTTGCTGATGGCCCGACCCCCTTTTTTATAAAAATCGGCCTTTTAGCCATTATAAACTTTTAAAATTATTTGTTTTTGCACCCTGGATGATTTTTTGCAGTAGCTGTTAACGTGGCGTCAAGGAGGATAAAGTGGTCTTCTTTAATAATTTATTTTAGAGAGGTAAACCGAACGGGAACTACTTTTTAAAATTTTCCTGGAAAAGTGAGGCAATAAAAATCCCTAAAATCTAGTTCAATCTTAGGAAAATCACAAAGAGTTTATTTTAGCTCAATAAACTATGAAAACAGTTTCATAGTTTTCTAAAACCATGTTCTATCTTATGATGCCTAAATTAAAACTGTCTTTTATGGACTCATTTTTGCTTATTTGATGCTCTCATATCTATTATAATTAGTCTATGAAAATGGTCTAGACTGCGAAAAAGTTTATGTGACTTTGGTGACAACATATTTGTCATGTAACGATATCACCACATCATACTCAATCCTATTTAGGCCCTATTTGGTACTGTTGTGGGGAGAAGCACTTTCCTACACAAATGGGAGAAAAAACGTGGTTAAAATAAGCTAGTCTGAACTAGAGCATTCGCTAGCGAGAGTAGTCCGTGTCACTTAGCCTTCTATTTAGTTTGGTTGTTAACCTCAACTAGTTTGAATAAATAATGAGAGCATCTACTAACAAATAAACATAAGAAATGAGTTTATACAATATTCAAATAATTTCAATCTAGGCACCATAAAATAGAGCATGATTTTAGGAAAAAAGTTTAAATAGGTTTGACAATTTTCTAAGCGGATTCTAGGATTTTTATAAGATTAAAATATATTTGTAGGATTTTTAATTGCATAGAATTTCTAAAAAATGATAAATTTTCAAAAAAAAACAAATATTTATGATCCAACCCAAACTATCATAAAGTCTGATTTATCCCCTTACAGCTTACGTCACGTCACAAAAACGCCAAAACCACTTAGGGTGAAAAACAAACGATTTTAAAAGTTGAGAACGATTAGAAATCCAATTTATAATTTTTTGAGAAGAAAATCCAATTTATAAATAAAGAGGGAAAATCAGTACCACGAAAGTTGTGGGAGGTTGAAAGGACTTTTTTTTCTTTATTCAAACGACACATCAAAATGAAAACGGCCACATCGACGTAGCCCAGTATGCAACAGCCCAACTAAGAGCATCTCCAAGAGACTCTCTATTTTCTTCCTAAATGCTAGAAATAGAGATTTTGGTGAAAAACTATCCTCCAACAGCTTATCTAAATGGTTATCCAAATATGACCATCTTCTATTCCAGATTTTTCACTAGCCAAAAATAGAAGACGAGAATGGCTCTCTAGACTGCTCACGAGATATAGAAAAACTATTGGAGAGTGAAAAGATATAGAAAATAATTTTTACGCAAATGACTCTCCAAATAATAATTTAGAGAGTGAGATTTAGAGAGGCTCTTGGAACTATCGTATTTTTTTTCCAAAACATCTATTCTACCTCCCTAGCTGTTGTCATAATTTGATTTTTCTCCTTAAACTTCAAAACCGAGATCTTTCCCTCTGAACTCTTAAATTTATTTAAATTACCTCCAGCCCTAATTTAGAGTGGTTTTGAATTTTGAAGGCGGTTGTCTTTTTTAGTTAAAGAAAATCTATAAGAAGCCATTTGTATCCTTTCATTTTGTTGAAATTTGAATCTACTTACTAGACTAGGCTATTTGCATAGATTTGACATTTCACAACTTTCCAAAGTTTACATATACACTTATCTCAAATTCATAGTGTGGGGGTTGAAAATTGATTCTATTGATCACCACACTATGTTTCTACTTTACAACTTATAATACATTCTTCATCTCGCTCCCATACGGTACAAATGCAACACACAAGTATCTCTCTCGTATGGCCCACTGTAATATACAAATACATTTCATATGCAATCATATTAGCTTAACTAATATGTGTCAAAATCATGATTATTAAAATGAATTCAATTTTAGCATCCAAACGGGGCCTAAAGGTTTTTAAACTAAAGAAAATGCTTCTAAGTTTTTAAATTTTCAAAAACTATTATAGAGAATGATTGATATAGAAAATTCCAAATAAAATATTTATAACTCATGAAAATATGTCTAGCTGTTTAAAAAAGATTTAGTTCTAGGAAAGTAAAAAAAAATATTTTTTCTTTTGAGAATTCTTAAAGCATTCTAATTGATAAACGTATTTTGAAGTCATGACCACACGCTTAACGGTTCTGGTTCGGTGGCATGATCAGATCCACTTGAACCTGGACCATGGCCCCTAGTATCGGGGACGCCGGGACGGCATGGTCATTGGGCCAACAACTGTCCATCCTAACTATGCATGAAAACGGATTGGATATGGACATATATCATTGATATTATATTTGTTTTCATATTTCTGTCCGAATTTAGATTCAAATACGGATAGTGTCAACCGTGCCGGATAATATACAATTGGATATCGACATCATAAATATGCGATTTGAGTATTTGATATGGATACGGTATCGGATGTTGAATATCAGGACTCGGATACAAACACATTTAAACCCCTCTAAACGGATTCGGTTTCGAATACGGTCAGAAAATATCCATACCATTTTCATCCATAATCGTAACTCATATGCCAAACCTTCAGTACACTGCCCCCCTCCTCGATTGGGGGCGCCTAGCTGCCGACCCCCACCTGTTGAATCCCACCGACCTCCGGCTCCCCTCTAAAAAATAATTTCCTCCCTCACTTCCTTCGCCAAATTGGACCCAATTCAATTGTCTTCTTGGGTCAAACAACATATCAGCAACCATGCAGTAAAACCCAAAATTGCTGACATCAGCACATATCCCATACTTTTTGAAGTACAAAAGTCATATCTCCTAAACCAAATATCCTATTTAAAATCTAATTACATCATCGTGTTCCTTGCAATAAACTCTTCGAAACAAGATCCCACATGGATATATTTCGATAAATTTTTTTAACAAACATTTATCTCATGATGAACCCATATTTAAAGATAATCATTAAACATCACATTAACACTACACAAACATCGTAGAAAATGGCATAAAACATCTTATGTACACTACGCGAACATTATATATATAATAAAAATATAAAAGATATAAAAAATAAAAATAAAATTAGTGAAGTAATTAATTATAGTCATATAAAAAGAAGAAAAATGCTACCAGACATCACAAATACATCGTAGAACATCACATTAAGACTACACGAATATCGCTAAATATAGCGTATAACATTATATGTATACTACGTGAACATCACAAATATCATGAAAATATATAATAAAATAATAAAATTAGTAAAGTAATTAATTAGAGTCAAATAAAAGAAGCTACCTAACATCACAAAAAATGTCCTAGAACATCAATGTATGCTTACTGAACATATCAAAATACATCGTAGAACATCACATTTATACTCGCGAACATAAAAAAATACATCATAAAATATTACATGTATACTACATGAACATCGCGTGTATTTGTAAATAAAAAAAGTGAAACATAAAATTATAAATAGAAAAAAGGAAAGGAAAATAAATGAATGAAAGAAAAGGAAAACATATAATAAAAAATGAAAATAGAAAAGGAACAAAAAGAATAATAAAAGACCACGAAAAAAGCAAGGAAAGGAAAAAAGAATAGAAGAAAATAAAAAAGACTAATATATCAAAAAGGAAATAAAAAAAGATTAAAATATGACAAGAATAATAGAACAAAAAAATAAAATAAAAGAGAAAACAAAAAAGAAAAAGAAATAGTAGAAAGGAAACAAAAAAAAGATGAAAAAAGAAAAAGAAAAAAAGAAAACCTGACGTACCTGGGCCGACGGCGGGAAGAATCGTACGCAGAGGGAGGAGGGGTCGGGACGAGGAACCCGTCCGATTGGTCGGCAGCGATGGGTTCTGCCCCCCACCTTGCCCCCGCCCCCTCCGAAAAAAGGAGAGGCTAGCGCCCGTATGTCTGGCCCTAGGCCCACGTCCAGACGCTACTTCCCACGCTGCACGCCCTGCTCGCTCGGGTTCTGCGCCATTCGAACGACTCGCGCCCCACCCATGTCGCCCTCCCCACGCGTGCCCACGCCGCCCGAACATCACCAGCATCGAGAAGAGGAGACACCAAGGCGAAGCAGCAGAAGGCGAGGAGAGAGGTGCAACGCCTGATCTACTTTTAAAATATCCAGATACAACACTTGCAACACACGTATGAAGACAGATGAAACGTTTGAAACATGCGTCTAAAACACTGGCAAAAAACACATGAAACACTTAAAAACCATTGCAAGACATACGCAACATCCAGATAAAACACTTGCAACATATGTGTGAAACATATACAACATTCAGATAAACACACTTGCAACGTACGTTTGAAAAAACAGATGAAACATTGTGAACAAACATTTGCAACATAAGTGTACAACCATTGCAACATATGCAACATCCCGATCTACTTTTGCAACATCCATACGAAACCCTTGCAACATACTTCTGAAATAACTGAAACACTTGAAACATATGCTTGCAAGATGCGCTTTCAGCACAATGTCACCTTGCTGCTGGGATGAATGGAGCTCATCATTGTGGAGCTCGATGCCATAGAGTGAAAGGAGGTCGCCGGTGCCCGTGATGGACGACCAGCGGAAGAAGGCCCTTACGCGGATGCCGTTGAGGCCCGAGATGTGACGGTCGTCAAGGCAACCTGTGAGGCGGTCGCTGAAGGTGGCAAGGTAGCTCCCCGCGGGCAGCACGATGCGGCACCTGGAGCAGAGGTCGACGGCAAAGTCCCCGGAGCCGGCGTCGAGCGTGTAGGCACGCACGTTGGCCAGGAGCAGGCCGCACGGGAAGCCTCGGAGGCGGAGCTCGTCGTACGTAGTGGTGGCGGGCGGTGACGAGGTGGAGTCCGGATGGGCTAGCGCGAGCAGGAGCGACGCCACGAGGAGGGTGGCGAGGAGGCGGCGCGCCATCACGGGTTCGTTGCGCAGGTCAGAGACGACGGGGTGGGGGACGGAGCCGTGGAGGGTGAAGGGGAACGGGAGAGAGTGTGGGGGCGGCCAAACAATCCAGAATAGGAGAGTGGACCATTGAAATGTCCGGACGGGAGTCATAAATGAACGGTTGCGGTTGCCTGGGCCGCCCGTCCGCAGGCCAGCAAGGAGGCGCCGGACGGACGGACATCCTAACCCGAAAAAAAATCCTACTCTTTTCACGACACTTGCTTCTCATGAAGATCCACTAGTACAAAAGCATTCTTTGCACGCACGGCTTTGACCTCAGTTGCTGCAACTTACTTCTCCACTCAAACCAAACCATCACAGAATCACAACGACGAACTGACGACAGCAACCAAACCGCAGAGCTAACGAAAAAGGTTGCTCAGAACATTCACAAGGCAAAACCGCGGTCAGTAACGAAGACTGAAGGTGATGGTTTATTGAACTAGACATGACTCCACTGAACAAGTACTTATTCTTATTGTACGACAATGGCACTGCAAATGCAGTTGCTCTTCCACAACTAGGTAAGGCAGTTGATGAACTCCACGGCTGTTGCGACCGCGCTGGCAGTAATGGCATCCTTGATGATCTTGTTTCTGTGGTTGTTGCTGGCGCCGGAGATGAGGGCACCAGATAAGGCGCCTCCGATCATCGCATTCTTCTGCAGGGTCATGAGAGCAGAAGGGGTTAATGAACACCAAAAGATGACACAGAACATGGGTGGAATGAAAATGAACGGGTTACAGATTAAACAATTTTTATGATGAGGTGCTTAATGGTTCCAAACAACAACACTGTAAGAAGACTGAAGACCTATCTTGTCCTAGTCTTCTACATAGCTGGACATCAGTAAAATTTCTAATTCTAATAAGCATCAGATGTTGCAAAAACCTTGATGTATGAGGTACCAGTGCCATACAGAGCTTCAGCCTTCAATCATACTATTCGAAGAAGAAAAAATGTTGCCTAACAGTAAAAAGGTCTAGATTTCGAACGGGATGTTACTTTTCACTAACAGGCAAGCCGAATTTTCCCCCCTGAGATGATGTTCAACTAATCACCATAAAACTGAAAGATTCATACTCTGATTATTCTTACCCAGTCGCTGCGACCACGGACCCTTTCCACACCATACACCATGCCCACATAAACTCCAGCAACGGTACCTGCGTGTTAGACAAATAAACATCTGAATTGGTCCGAGTATATAAATGAAGAAGGGAAAGAAGCCAACTGAAATTATTTGAGTCTGAAGCTACAAAAGGCACAAATTGGTCAATTAGTTACCCCAATATGCACCCTCCTGGCACATCTTCTTCAGCTGCATACATATTGAGAAAGTGTATCAGTTTGATGTGTAAACCAGAAGTTGCTCACTGAGGTGCAGGGTTTTTTTTTTCGAGAACATGACTTCACATGTTTTTCATTAAGGAGAGGTGCAGGGTTTTAGTTCAACATTTCCAGTAAGACATAGAATTCCTGAGATGACAGTACTGCATTGAGACTACAACTAGAGATCCGCAGTATTCATAAGTCATGGAATGCGTTTTAGAATGTCAAGTAAATCACGATCCACATTTAGGAACTGCAAGCAAAGAATCACCTAACTGGAAACGCTAGGCATTTGGATCATGATATTTAGGATCCCCAAATGAAATGGGGCCTGGAGCTAGAACAGTTAAAAAATCAGCGATACAAAGGTTGTGGATATATGACTTACGGCATGCTCAATCCTGTGCTTTGAAACATCCCCTGCAAACAAAAGAGGTTTTGTCATAACAATTTCTTCTCTGATTGCCAGTAAAATGTAGCACAAAAAAAATGCAAGCATATGATTTCCTTGTCAGCAGTACTGCTATTATTCTGAAATAGCATTGGTTAGTTCAAAGTTGAGGCGAGTCTTCAGTAAGATCCATTGAGGTAAGGACCATTTGAACCGGCTCGGGCCCAAGGTTGGGAACTAGTACTAGTGTGTATATATGAAGTGAATCTTCAGTAGCAAAATCAGAATTTTCTCGTCATTTCAGTCATTCAATCATGACTGAATGTAAAATGCAGTCTACAGAAATGTGCTGAAAAACTCGATAAAGACTGAAGAAAATTCCTTATTTTACACTGGGAAAATGAGTCGTTCCTTTTTTGGCCCTGAAATTTTCTTCGTTCCCTATTTGACACTCATTTCAACTTTCATCCCTAATTTGACACTATCGTCAAATCCATTAGCTAACGGTGTTAACTGGCTGTTAAAAAGACGTTTTTACCCATAGAAAAAAAAAACGGCGAAGCAAATTTGAGAGGAAAAATAAACCTGCGCCTTTTTTTTGTAGTTGGGCGCATGCATCAGATGCGGGCGCAGGTTTTTTTTCCTCTCAAATTTGCTTTGCCGCTTTTTTTCTAGGGGCAAAAACGTCTTTTTAACAGCCAGTTACGCCGTTAGCTAACGGATTTGACGGTAGTGTCAAATTAGGGATGAAAGTTGAAGTGAGTATCAAATAGGGAACGAAGAAAATTTCAGGACCAAGAAGGAACGACTCATTTTCCCAGTGTCAAATAAGGAATTCTCTCGAATCGCAGTCTGGGGTTATGTCTGCGCCCATTGTTTCGCTCTCTGGATTCACTTGCAGAGGCAGAGAGACTGCAGTGACCAAACGTTTTGGGGGGCAAGATAGTATCAATATCTGACACGCACATGCGTGAGGCAAAATCGAAACTTTTTTTTCCCCATCTAATAAGGGTTCCTGGGCATGGGCTATGGAATGCAGCATGACTGAAACTTAATACGAATAAAGGGCACGAGAAAGAGGCGAACGCACGCACGCACCCCTGTGGAGGCACTCGAAGGTCTCTTCGGCGGCCACCTTGCAGGCGCCGACGGCGCCGATCTTGAGGAAGCCGTCGACGGTGCGGTTGAGGAAGGGGTTCCCCAAGTCGATGACGACGTCGATCTTGGGCGACCTGAGGGACCCCGAGAAGCCGCCGCGGGGCATCCTAGCCTGGCCCTACCTTCCTGGCAGTGGCAGTGGCAGTGGCAGGTCAGCTGTGTGTGTGGCAGTGTGTGAGAACTGAGGAGGAGGATCGCCTGGGCAGGTTCTCTCACCTCGGAGAAGATAAAGAAGTGGAGATTGGGCGGTGGCGGACGGTGGCTGCAAGGGCACGAAATCGGCGGCAATCCCCACGGGCTACGGCCTATTCACCCATCACCCCTGGTTTGCCACTGCTACGAGGGGCCACAGGTCATCGTCTCCTCTCGTGAGGCGCGTCACGCGTGCGACTCCAAGGATTGGTCTTCTTCCTCTCCTTTATCCTCCTTGGCGTACGTTGGCGTGCTGTGCTGTACTGCTGTTGGATCATCAGGCCAGGGACACGAACGATCGCGGACAAAACGAGGGATCGCGGAGCGTGTGGTCCGTGCAAGCATGGACGGCCGAGAATGAGCCCGGCTACGTGCAAGCTATGTGTTGGCAGGCCACCACCTGGCCACGTCAGGATCGCGCTCGTGTGGCGTACTGCTGCTGTACAGCTCCTCTGTTGGTAGTATACCTCCTAGTGCCTGATGAGTTCGAACTGAGCGTTGTTTGTATCCAGAATTTGTTGAGTTAGATCGAGACAGATAGGTCGTGATTGATTGGTTGCGTATACTCTAGGCCCTGTTCGGCTGGCTAAAAAAACGGTTGATATTGATTTGTTGTGAGAGAAAAATACTATTATTTCACTTAAACAGCTGATAAGTTTCAAGCGAACGGAGCCTGAGTCAGTTCCACGGGATACATGTTTACGATGATTGTTTGCTTGTACGGCACTTTGGGTCTATCTCTCTGCTCATGCAAAAATCCCTTCTCAGTCCGACTTCTAAGATACGCAGATTTTTTTTTGGTTTCTTCACCAGAGCTAGGCTGTCGGATGAGAGCAATTATGTAGATAATGACATTATTACTGCTCGGACTAGCATATATTAATTGATATTAGTGTATTTTAAACAATATTAAGGAATAATGTGATAAATGAAGAGCAATAAAAGATAGTTGCATGTATAAAAAATATCGTGTTTATGTTTATTGCCTAATTTATCTCTCTGCAATAGGTTCTCGTGCAAACAACCAAACATCATATCAACTGGGTCAGAGTAACTAGATCCAAGCAACTAAATATAGCAGTGTTGCCGCGCTCTGCCGCCTATCCCCTTGGGGCCATATGAGCTAGGTTGGACAAAAGGAACGAGGCCCATGTGCCAGCCCATGACTCGCTATTTTGGCCCGACCTAGCTTGGCATAGCCCGTAGCACATGCCATGCCTAGGCCGCTTCCCCGGATAATGCCAGTGTGGCACAACCTGATTAAGTGGCAATGAAAATTTGATCATTGCCGGTTAAGACATGGTGCCGTTTGGCTGGTCACAAAAGCCAGCTTGTTTGGTTTCTTTTTTCAGCCGGAACAGTGTTTTTCTCTAACAACAATTCAGCCGGAATGATGTTTTTCAGCTAAATTCAGTCCAACGAACGGGGCCAATTGTAACATATCTATTCAGAATTCAGCAACTAGAGTGAGGATAGTCTATGGACTAGGATACATTTTAATAAAATTAAAAATGATTTTTAATAAAAGTTACAGAAAACATTAGGGTTTTAATGAACTTTTGACTAAAAGAATTATAGCAACTACTAAGATTCAAATTTGAAAGCCAAAATCAAGATTTACGATGTCACAACACGTGTGCTGCAACAAGAGCTCGCATTACTCAAGTTAAGGTTTGAACTAAACACACATTAAAGATGTGGAAGCACGATGCAAAGAAAAAAAAAGACTCTGAATATGAATAGAAAAATATATGGAACTAGCTGGTAACTCCGCGCGAAAGGTGATTTGTTGCATGACAGGTAATCAAGATAGGGAAAAAAGGAAGAAATAGTGGACAGTTATGAAACAATGCTGAACAGTATGATGACAGTTAACGAAGAGGGAGGCAAAAAAGGTATTCATCGATTCACATCTTGTTGATCATGACCTACATCTAGTATGATTCCCAAATCTGTACTCATGGCCTAAAGATATAACCAGCAGAGAATGTCACAACATTTATTCTTGTTTTGCTGCTGAGCACAGCCTGCAGAATGGACAATAGCAGGGCGTGAAATTAATACGTAAGGTAGAACGAAGCGAAGATTGAGAAAAAAGAAAAAGGTACGGAAGAGTAGATAATAAGCCAATTGACTGAAAACGAAATCATCTGTAGAAGAGTAGATTCACCTAAAAGGACAATGTTCACAACAGCCAAATTGCAATGTACATTTGTGCAACTGCAGAAACAAAGGTGTTTTTTTTGCACCAGCAGCGAACAAAAAGCGTTCACTATGTTAATCCATACTTTACCTTTGATGCATATATGACCTATCATCGTATAGGCAGTAAACTGGTATGGAGATGACACAAAATGTTCCTGTATGGCGATATGCTTGTAAATGAGACAGGTAGAAAGGAATCTGCATTCTGCAACTTTCTGAGAATGACCATACAGTAGGAGAAGCAAACAGATAACCCAAGCATCCGCATGCGCAGCCAAATTTGTTTCCCGGAGAACCGAAATCATTTTGGAAGTGTAAATCCAAAATAAATGCATATTTTTTATGTAGACCAGAAGCTTTTTGCATGTGTAAGTAGGTACCCATCCAAAATTTTCAATACAACCCAAAGAGGCATTTGGTCAAGTAATTTACAACTATAAAATCAAATATGAACAACCATTGTGAGCCTAGACCGTACTACATCTTACTTGTCTCCTAGTTATCTTAGCAGTAACCAAATTCACTACTCGGGACATGCAACGATTTGCGAGACATGGTGCCATAAATTTTGGAGTAACCAAATTCACTCTTGAGAACATGCAACAGTAGACAAAAGTATGGTTCACTAAGTATGGTAATTGTAGCGGTAAGTAAGCAGATGTGACGATCTCAATTTCACTATTAAAAGGCGGAATATGGATGACACTATTAGTACGGAAACAATGTCTTCAGCATAGTGTTTTGAAGTCCGCACACTGGAGAAACAAACAATCATGCGATTCTGTGTAAGAACATGTTAAGACTGAAGACTATTTTGCCTATAGCCTAATGATCATATAACCTTGCAAGTGTAATATGAAGTTATGTTGTAGTACGAAACAACTGCATGAGTAATGATAGTCTGTGCGTCCCAAAGGCAAATAAACAACCTAAAGTATATGTGGCTGTATTTTGGCCAGCAAAGTCAATATGTGTACATATGAAGTCAGTAGTGGCATTGCTGCGTGTACCTGGGTAGATAATTCCTGGGAGGTTTCATGTGAATTTTCATGGTGATGCTTTGGTGCAAATGTGTCGAAGAGGATGTGAGCAACATTTTATTGCTCTGTCAGAACAGAAATAATACAACTGAATTCAGAAACCTCAATTTGTATCTTCTGAAGTCCTCCTTGCCAGCGCACTGATGGAATCCAAGCTGCACAACTTTATCTAAATCACAGACCTGTACTATGGAACACTGTATGTGCCTAAAAAATGGGACAGTAGGTGAAATTAATAATTTAGCAAGTACGTCAAGGGAGATAACACTAAGAAATGCAACAAAATTTACAGCAACACGGAGCAGAGGCTGAGTAAATCAGTATGGCATTGCGTCCTGTAGGCTATACAGCGATGAGCATGAACACTGGGAAATAAATGAGGAGGCAACAGAGGCAAGGTGGGTCAAAACCACGGCTGCACACCTTGCCGTTGGGGACCATGTCAGCCTCGCCTCTGTAGGTAGGCAAGTCCACGCTACATCGGAGGTAAAGAGTAAAGGTTGGAGTCGCAGTTGGAGGCCAACCCCAAATGGTCCGCACCAGGTCCTGTTTGAGACAGATAGATCGAATCGAATCAAATCTGTCTAGAGAGGCAAAGACAGAGAAGGTTGGACTCACAATTCGTGGGCACACCAACTGATCCGATGCATTCGAGGTCGCGTGCACCAAAGGGTGCTCCCGTTCCGCTCCCCTGCCGTTTTTGAACCTGGGGTGGAGTTCCATGGCCAGGAGCATGGACGCATCAGGAGAGGGAACGACAGAGGTAAAGGCGGAGTGGACGGACGACGAAGAGGCGTCGGGCGACGCGAGGGGGGCCACCGGCGAGGGTCGCCCACACCGCACCACGCCGGGAGGCGGGCACCGTCGGCGCGCGTCCGTGCGGCTGCGCTACGTCGCACAGCCAGAGAGTGGTGTCGGGCCGTCCGCCTACAGCACGCAGGGGCGGACGCGCCTAGCACCTCCCGCTGCGGCGGGGATTTTTTGGTGGGCGTCGGTGGGTCTGGGGAAGGGATAAGGCCGTCGGTGGGTCTGGGGAAAGGATAAGGCCGAGCCAAGGAAGCGGCGGGGCGCAGCGGCCGCACGGGAGCGTGGCGGACATCCAGCGTAGGAAGAAAGGATCGGACGGCCAGGGATGGTTTACTGTGGATGAATGAACAGGATTCTGAGTCTGTGAGACGAAGCGGCACTGTAGCTATCATCACCAAGGTTAGAGATCTTTATATATATAGATAAGCTCGCATCAGTACCGTTGTAAAAGCATATATGAAAAAGAATTCTACAACTTACAAATAATTCCTAAGTGAATTCCCCATCAACTTCGACTGCAGTGGTTTACTCATCAAGAACTGATTAGACTACCTCAACCATCGCACACATACTAGTGTCTCCCATGGCTCGCTTTCCGAGCCTGCTCCCTCAAATCCCTAAATAACCGTCATTTTGTTTCATGTCGGAAGTTTGACTGAATTTATAGAAAATATGTGTAATATTTATGTCTTCAAATAAATTTATTATAAAATAGATTCAACAATATATCTAATGATATTAATTATATACTATAAATATTAATATTTTTTTATATAGAACTAGTCAAAGTTATTTCTCGGAAAGCGAGAACGACAGTTATTTAGAGACTAAGAGAGTAGCTTACACTAGTATTCAGTTTTTTCAAACGGTAATGCTACAAACATGACGTCCGACGCCAGCGACTCCTCCAGACAAACGCGTGGCGTGACGTGCACCACAACTTTGCTTTTTTTATTCCTTGCTCATTTCCATGTCTCTTATTCTCATATGGACGCCGCACCTCGCTCCACTCGCTGCGGCGGCGTTCTCCCACCGTGCCCCAGACCCTACGCCGCTTGCTCGCTCGCTCCTCGCTCTGCGCGCCGTCAAGACGCCCCACCCACGCCGCTCGGCGGTCCTCACTTGGTCGGCGCTACACCACCTACTCCCTCTCGAAGCGCAGCTGCCGCCCGCCAGGTGAGCCAAGGCCAGTCTTCTTTGGTCTTTGGATGGTGGTGGTGCTTTCGCGCCACCATCTGGTGTCTTGGTCTTTGGTGGTGCTTTCATGCTTGCGCTCTCGCCGTCGGATCCCACCCCGATGATCGGAATTGACCGGGCCCATCCTTCCACTCCCCTATGTTACAAATGTATGTTTCAAGTGTTTTAGATGTTTCAGAGGTATGTTGCAATTGTTACATATGGATGTTGCAAAAGTAGATCATGTTGCATATTTTTGCAAGTGTTTTCGGTTATGTTGCAACAAGTGTTTTATCTAGAGTTGTATATGTTTCACACACTTGTTTCAAGTGTTTTATCTGGATGTTACATATGTTTCACACACATGTTGTCAAGTGTTTTATCTGAATATTGCATATATTTCACATATATGTTTTCAACAGTATATTTCAAATGTTTCATTTATATCCGATGTATGTTGCATCCAAGTGTTTCATGTTGCAAGTGTTTCACAAGGGCACGATGAGTGATGGGCGCACGGCCCAGGCGCCGGGGGATGGGGCACGACAGAGTTGGGGACCAACAGACGGGGGCGCAACGAGCTGGGGCCGGCTCCCGAGTCTTGCCCACATGGAGAAAGAGAAGGCCGTCTGTGGGAAGGAGCGGGGCGCAGGGACGAGGGCAGGGTGCACGTGCGAGGTGGGGACGAGGCGGACGGGGGCAGGCTGCACGGCCATCCATCCGGACGCAAGGAGTGGCGGGCGCAGGTCGCCAGCGGTCCCCACGTGCGCGAGCCCCTGGGTGGGCGCGTGAAATGTAGGCACAGTTGGGGGCGTGGAGTGTAGGGGCGACTGTTAATAGCAACTATATCCTTAGCATGAGTGCATGACAATAACATCACGTCTGATCATGAGAGGTGGGAATCTTTTGCTTTATCGAACAATGAATTTGTTACCAGCAACAAGCGTGGCCTTGACTCTTTTCTGTCAGAGTTTCTTGATTCCAAATGGGGACTAGTGGACACGCCTGAATCAAAGTGAAGTTAAGAGTTCAGTAAAGTCAAGAGTAACAAGCTGTGGTGCATGGTTAATAATGATATGGGTCATTAGAGGCCGTTTCTTTTTCCACCCTCACCTTCTCTCTGATCTTCTCAGAGTCTCTCTTATCAAATCCATGGTGACTCGGACTCCCTCCCTACCACCAGTCGGCCATATTGCGTTGCGCGCCTGAGGTGGCACGCTAAGCGCTGAGCAGTTGTGCGTGGGCAAGACGTGTGGCATGGGCAAGACACGTGGCGTAGGCTGATCTTCTCAGAGAGAGGGCTGCACGCAGGGGTCGTTGGCGCATGTGGGGAACAATAGTGTGGGAGATCGCAGCGTTGCTCGGAACGGGTCGTGATCGAACTTTGACGTTGCCAAGCTCCAGGGCGCAGTTGCCAAGCTCCACCATACCGTCCGACGGATCAATATGAGATCGGCGTTTTTCAAAGGCGCAGTACCACTTAACTGTAACCTAGTCCAGAATAAAAAAAAAAAAACCCACGGTACAAAATAAACCAAATTTATTATTATGTAGTAGATACTGTAGACGCTCAAACCTCCCACTAAGGGATATAAAAGTATTCCAGGGTGAATGGCTAGCGCATGGAAGTTCAGAAAGATGACATGTTCGGAGTTCGGACACAGCTCCGGAGCCTCCTCCGTCACACGCGCGAATGCAGCTCCCGCGCCTCCTCCGTCACGCGTCCCACGGGAAAAGGCCACGCCACCAACGCCCCACTCGTCCATGCCCATGCATGCGTGGGGACCACCCAAGCCCGCTCCTTTTCACGCGCGCATGCGCATAGCAGCAGCACCACCGGCAGGCCGCGCGGTTACGCGCCTGCATGCACGCAGCAACAACACCAGCAGGTGCACACAACAGCACCAGCGCCAGCACCAGCATCAGCATGCGGCACGTTCACACGCTCGCCTGCACATAGCAGCGCCAGGGTAGGCACGGTGACCCATGCAGCAGCAATAACAATATACATTTGAAACATACGATGACCCACGGTGATCCACACAGTAGCAGCAATACCACACCACTGCAACATGTGGATGCTCCCCGAGATCTACTCACTTTGTCCAAAAAAAAAAAGAATACAATTATGGTATCCGTGCCGGTCAACTTCGCTCAAGTTTGACCAAATTTATAGTAAATAATTTTATCATTTATGTCTCCAAATAAATTTATTATGAAAATATATTCTATAACAAATCTAATAGTACTTATTTTGTGCCATGAATGTTTGTACTTTTTATATAAATTTTGTAAAAGTTCAGACTGTTTGACTATTTAAAAATGAGAATTGCATTCTTTTGTGGACGGAGGGAGTACTTTTGAAACATCCAAATGAAACACTTACAACATAAATATGAAACAGATGAAACACTTGAAACATGCGGTTGAAACATGCATGTATAGCTATAGCAGCATATATAACATCTAGATCTACTTTTGCAACATTCAGATGAAACGCTTGCAACATAAAGTCTAAAACATCTGAAACACTCGAAACATATGCTTGAAACATACGTGTATAGCCATAGTAACATATGCAACATTCAGATGAATCACTTGAAACATACATCTGACCTAAAACACTTGAAACATAGGCTTGCAACATGCATATATTGTCATTGTAACATCTGCAACATCCCATATCTACTTTTGCAACATCCAGATAAAACACTTGAAACATAAGTCTGAAACGCCTGAAACACTTGAAACACAGCGTCGCCGGCAGCCACAACCTACCTGGTGAGAAACTACGGTATCCAGCAACCTCGGGTACATCGCTCCGCACGCTTGCGCCCGTCGACGTGGCCCATCGCTCCTCAAACGATTCTCCCGCACCTGCTCACGGCCCAAGCTATCACCCGTCGGCGTGGCCCCACTGCTGCTACTCCAGTGTTGTTGCTCGCTTGGCCGCAGTCATCTAGTGTCGTCCGCTCGTGGGGGATGGGGGTGCGACAGGGCGGAATTAGCCCAGCTAGCACAAGATGTAGGTGCAGCGGTGGCGGCGGGAGTCATTACTACCTGTTGCTGGTGGAGGAGGGATGCCGATCACCGGATACGAACGGAGAAGAGAGAGGTAGCAGCAGCCGACGAAGATTAGCCCGGCCGACGCGAGTTGCAAGTCATGCGACGGCAGCGGCGGAGTCATTGCTTGGGATTTGGGAATGCCTTTCTAGCTTGGCATGTGCGTTGTGAGGCGGAGTAGGGATTTTTTTAAGAGAGATGGGGGCTGGTTCACTGCACAGGCTTGGGAACCGCATCCGAACGGACGGGCACCCGTGGCCGAGCATTACCGATAAAAGCATGTTTAAACTCTATCCGTGACTCTCAGTTACAACTCGAACCCATTTATGCATAACTTGACACCCTTTTACTTTGTTAGAGACAGAACATCTCATTTTTTCCTAAGTCTGAGATAAAGAAATCTCAAAAAACAGGAGATGGATGTTGTATCAGTTCCTCTTTATTCCTCTCCGGACACATGTGACCTACATGTAGCGGGTTACTATTTCTCTTTCTTTTCCTTCTCTCCTCTCTTCTTCGACCATGTGATAGCGCGAGCACAGCCTGACTATGGCTGGATAACTCGGCTCGGCTCGACTTATTTAGCTCGCAAGCCAGGCAAAAAAACATAAAAAATTTAATTTTATATATTTATTTAAAGCTTGAAAATAGTAATAATACAGTAATAACCCATTTATAAGCCTTAAATCAAACAAATAAATTAATATGTACTGACGTATATACAAGTATAACAATATACTACAGTACCAAACATACATCAATAGCCTGCACTCTATATTTATATATATAATGCATCCATAATTCATTATTAAGGATCTATACATCTATTTAAAACAAAGTGATAAAATTATAGTAATCCTGAATTTGCAGGTCCAGGTCCAGGTCCAGCCATCAATCAACCAATTATAAAGTGCAATGCATCAACAAGCTATACAAAACTAATATAAGTTTAAGGCAAATAGTTTTGGCTCGTTAGGCTTGCAAGCTAGCTCGAGCTGGCTGGCTCGTTAACCATACGAGCTAAAATGATGACTCAGTTCACTGAAAAATATAAATGAGCCGATCCGAGCCGAGCCACTAACAAGCCAAGTCGAGCGAGGTACCGAGCTGCGAGTTTTTTGTCCAGGCCTAAGCCTAACGATACGTGCGTGTGGAGGACGCGGTTGGCACTGGGGCGCAACGGGCAGCGACTAGCGAGGTGGGCCATGGGCGAGGCCTGGTGACTAACAAACGACGGGTGGTAGAAAAACAGCCTCTGGTAGGAAAGGGGATGTGTGAGCCCTTTGTAGGTCTTCTTTGATGTAGTGGGATTCGTCTTAATCGATATATGTTAGGTGGACTGAAGTAAAACTTGAACTAATTTTCACCTTAATATACGTGGATTGAGATGAATTCGACAATATCCAAACGAGATTGAGAAAAAAAAGTTTGGAAAAGAGGATTAGAAAGGGATCTATTGGAGCTTGTTTTTCCAGGGAAAGAGGATGGATTTTCTGGAACAACTGTAGATAGATGCTCTTGCCAGTTGCCACGCGATTTCTGAGGCGAAAAGCAATCATGCTCTCAGTGGCCGCCGGGGTCCAGTCACCACCACCAACTCACAAAGCAAACATCGTCCGGTCCTCAGTCGCAATCTCCTTCCGCTTTGCATCCGATCCGACAATCTTTCTCTCTTTGTTTTCTATGGCAAGTGCGGTGTGGACATTCACTCCCCTCTCTCCGTTCGTCTCCATGGGCGTGAGAAGTGAGCAGCAGTGACCATTGACCGCCGCGCACAACCCGACTAGGGGAGGCCTCTCGTCGCCGCCGACGACGCGACCGAGGTAATGAGGATGATCTCGGCCGGAATCCTGTTTCTCCTTCTCGTTGGGTTGACCACCTGCTCATTTTCTTCATCACCTGCCTCAGATCTGCAGGCCTCTGCATCCTGGAGCTGGACCCCCGAAGAACCCATCTCCTCTTTCTCGTTGGGTTGTAGCCTCGCCGCAGTTGAGTTCACAGCCCGACTAGGGGAGGCCTCTCGTCGCCGACGACGACGCGACCGAGGTAATGAGGATGATCTCGGCCGGAATCCTGTTTCTCCTTCTCGTTGGGTTCGACCACCTGCTCATTTTCTTCATCACCTGCCTCAGATCTGCAGGCCTCTGCATCCTGGAGCTGGACCCCCGAAGAACCCATTTCCTCTTTCTCGTTGGGTTGTAGCCTCGCCGCAGTTGAGTTGAGGTACTTAATCTGCTTTGGTTTAAGCCCAACACGCACAATCCTGTTTTGGATTTGCGAAACTCAATGTAACCGCTTGCTTTCAATTTCATCCGCAGGGGTTTAGGCAAGAGTTTCTTTGACATAATGAGTGGGATGGAGGCTGCTTTAGCATCTGGAGTGTTGAAGGTTGCAGGTGACAAGCTAGTTTCACTGTTAGCCACTGAGTTTGCTGCCATAACCGGTGTACAAAGAGATCTCTCCGAGCTCCAGGATATACACGCAGCGATTACAGGCTGGCTGTCGGCAGCACGTGACAGAGCAATACAAAGTGAGCCACAGTCTCTCTGGGTTGTAAAATTGAAAGATGTGGCTTATGACATTGACGATGTACTACAAGAAGTCCAGCTAGAAGCTGAGAAACAGAAGATGGAAAGAGATGATGACAAGAGTGCTATAGCTGGCTGCTTCTGTGCAAAACCAAAGGCATTTGCATTCCGATACAAGATGGCTCATAAGATCAAGGCAATCAAGGTGAGATTTGCTGCAATCGTCAAGCAAAGAAGTGATGTCAATACTTTAGTTCCAAGGGATCAACATGTTGGTACTAGCTACAGGACAGTTGGAAAAATGTACTGGTTGAGCGAGGTTCTGGAGTCCGAAATACCCCGTAGGGATCAAGAAAAGGATGCAATCATATCTAAGCTTGTAGAATGTAATGCTGGAGAGAACAGCATGGTAGTTTCTATCGTCGGATTAGGGGGGTCAGGCAAAACTACTTTGGCCAAACACATTTGCCATGACGTCAAGATAAAGGAGCACTTCGGAGATGGAATATTCTGGGTCCATGTGTCTCAAGAGTTTGATTTTGAGAAGCTCATCGGCAAGCTATTTCAAACAATTGTTGGAGATAATTCAGATCGTCATCCCCCGCAGCACATGGCCCAAAAAATCTCCGAGAAGTTGAGCAATAAGAAGTTTCTTCTTATCCTTGATGATGCTTGGCATGAGGACAGACATGACTGGGAACAGTTCATGGTGCAGCTAAAATGTGGTGCACCTGAAAGAAGGATTATGTTAACCACTCGTGATCGAAAGGTTGCAGAAGCTGTGGAATCAAGATATATATTTGATTTGGCATTCTTATCAGAGTCTGAGAGTTGGAACTTATTCCTGAAGGGTTCTGGATGGGCAGAGCAAGATTTGAGCTCCGATTATGTACAAGTCGGAAAAGAGATTATCAAGGGATGTGGTGGGGTGCCGCTAGCAATTCAAGCTCTTGGAGCAGTCCTTCGTGACAAGAAGCAAATAAGTACGTGGAAGGCCATAAGAGATAGTAATTTATGGAATGTTCCGAGTATAAATGACAGAGTGTTTGCATCCTTGAAGTTGAGCTATATTCACTTGGCAGATGAACTGAAGCAGTGCTTTACATTTTGCTCCATATTCCCGAAGGGCTATGGAATCCAGAAAGATCGTTTGATTGCCCAATGGATAGCTCATGGATTCATCAATGCAATGAATGGAGAGCAACCTGAAGATATCGGAAGAGACTACTTAGATTCTCTTGTAAAAGTCAGGTTTCTTCAGGAAGCTTATGGGAGCTGGAATACTGATATATACAACATGCACGATTTGATCCATGATCTCACTCGACAGATACTAAAGGATGAACTGGTGACTTGTGTGCCAATTCATACAACAGAAGAATTTACTCATAGGTATAGATATTTATCTTTGACTTCATTCACTGAGAATGCTGACAAGGGCTTATTTGACAAGGTCCGTGCTCTATATATCTCTGACAGTAAGCCATCTTTTGATACCACAGTGAAGAATAGTTGTTGTATGCGCAGTGTTGTTTTGGACTATGCAATTGATACTCCATTTTCACTATTCATATTAAAGTTTGAGTATCTTGGGTATCTTGAAATCCACAATGTTAGTTTTACAACAGTTCCAGAAGTTATCTCGAGGTTTTGGAACTTGCAGTCACTCCATTTTGTTAACTGCAAAGGTTTTGTGACATTACCTGAGTCTGTTGGAAAGCTTCGGAAGCTAAGGACTCTAGAGTTGCGTTGCATTACTGATCTTGAGAGTTTGCCTCAGTCCATTGGTGACTTTTATGTTCTTCAGTCCTTGCAACTATATTCCTGCAGGAAGCTCCGAGAGATACCAAGCTCTCTAGGTAGAATTGGAAACCTATGTGTACTTGATATAGAGCGTTGTTCATCTCTGCAACAACTACCGCCAGACATCATTGGGGAGTTCAAAAACTTGCGAACTATCAACTTTAATGGTTGTACGGGTTTGCAAGACCTGCCAAGCACATTATCCTGTCATACATTGCGTACTCTGAACCTTTCTGGAACCAAAGTTACCATGCTACCTCAATGGGTTACATCGATTGATACTCTAGAATGTATTGACCTTGAGGGATGCAAGGAGCTACGGGAGTTGCCTAAGGGCATAGCAAACTTGAAAAGGCTTGCAGTTTTGAACATAAGGGATTGTAGTAAACTGTGCTGCTTACCATCAGGATTGGGACAGCTGACCCGTTTAAGAAAGCTGGGATTGTTTGTTGTTGGGTGTGGTGCAGATGATGCGAGGATCTCAGAGCTAGAAAACCTTGATATGATAGGTGGTCGCTTGGAAATTACCAACCTTAAGTATTTGAAGAATCCAAGTGATGCAGAGAAGGCTTGCTTGAAGCGGAAGAGTAGCATACAAAGCTTGGTGCTGAACTGGTCTTTAAGTGATACTGAAGAAGAGTTGGTATCAGATATGGAACATGATTGGGGTGTGCTGAACGCTCTTGAACCACCATCGCAAATTGAGTACTTGGATATCTATGGTTACAGGGGCCCCTGCTTGCCAGGATGGATGATGAAGCAAAATGATTCTTCATATTGTGAAGGTGGCATAATGCTGAAGCAAACTACTGCATCCCATTTCCTTCGTTTAACTTCGTTAACGCTGAAAGGATTTCCAAACTTGAGGCATATGAGAGGATTTGCTGAGTTGCCTTCACTGAAGGACCTTGAGCTGGAGGAAATGCCTAATTTAGAGGAGCTGTGGACTACATCAAGTGGTTTTGAAACTGGGGAGAAAGAATTGGCAGCACAATATCCTTTCCCTGTCCTGTCCAGTCTACTCATAGGTGGCTGCCCGAAATTAAATGGGAGCCCCTACTATCCACCATCGTTGGAGCATATGTATTTAAACAGAAGCAATATGCAGCTGCTATCCACAGGAAGGTTCTCCCATCAGCTGCCCAGCATGCATGCGTTGGTCCCTCGCCTCAAGAAGCTAGTGCTAATCGAAGTTACAGGATCATCATCTGGCTGGGAACTGCTGCAGCACCTCACTAAGCTGAAAGAGTTGTCTATTTACAGCTGCAATGACCTGGCACAGTTACCAGAGAGCATGCGGAACCTCACCTCTCTCGAGCGTCTCTGCATCAGCGGATGCCCCGCCGTTGGCACGTTGCCTGACTGGCTTGGAGAACTGCATTCTCTGCGATACCTTGAACTGAGTGGGGGCGATTTGAAGCAGTTCCCAGAGGCGATTCAGCACCTCACCTCGCTTGAACATCTCAACATGTCATCAGGTCCTGCACTGACGGTGCTGCCGGAGTGGATTGGACAACTCTCTGCGCTTCGTGAGCTTTATCTCCAGCATTCCCCTGCCCTTCAATACTTGCCCCAGTCCATACAACACCTAACTGCTCTCGAGAAATTGCTCATTAATGGTTGCCCTGGTTTGGCGACGCGTTACAAGCGAGGGGCAGGGCCTGACTGGCACCTTGTCAGTCACATTCGTAGTGTGAATATTTTTGATTCGGATGAACTTCGATGGGGGTGATAAATCTCGCTGCCGATTCGCTGGAGAGGAAAACACTGTTGACCCGATGCGGTAAATGCAACCGCCGTCGGGAGCAGGTCTTCAAACACATACTACACGTGAATTCAAAAAAAGCGGTCTTGCGGTAATGCAACCGTCAGTTCAGGTTCCAAAAATATAAGTTCAAATATGATTAATACATTTTAGAAAGCATCATCATATTTTTTTCAAATGAAAAAAATCAAAAAAAAAGTTTAGATATGAAAATCTATGATTCTTTTATTTAATTCATAAAAAAATATGATTTGATATGATTAATATTTGAAAAATCATCATATTTTTTGCGAAATTCAAAAAATTAATGTAAGACTATTATTATAATGTAGATCCACAGTGCTCCAATCCCAGCCGTTGGATCCTTCATGCCTCCAGCAAAAACGTCTCTAAGACTATTATTATGTAGATCCACAGTGCTCCAATCCCAGCCGTTGGATCCTTCGTGCCTCCAGCCACGTTGCCATTAGATGCCGGCCACGCACCCAGGTTCTAGAACCACCGATGCACTCTTCCCCAAACTGCGTCACGGCCTCTGCCTTGCGCGCCCCTGCACCAGCGGCAGTGCGACCCGGCCGCCGGCTTGCCTCCTCCAGATCCCCTCGCCCTCACGCAGTCACGCGGCCACCGCAGAGCACCGAACCAGCGTTCGGCCTTCTCCCTCGCGCCGCCCCTGGAGCAGCGGCAGCACATGGCCGTCGACCAAGCGTCCGGCCATCTCCTTCGCATGGCCCCTGCACCAACGTCCCCTCCACCTCAGGTATGCTATACCTTTTTCTTCTTCTTGTTCTTTTTCCCTCAGATGTTAATGTACGGGTGACTGTATGTGCAATTGGAAGTCACTGTCGACTATATATAGCCCTCTAAATTTCCCGTTTAACAGATCCGTTATGATTCAGGTGCATAATCTCACTCTACCACACCTAATTGGGGACAGCATGCCATTCTGCTCGCTAAGTTCCTGATAAAGATGGTATTGAACTGCCGAGTGCTATTGCAAAATTGTCAGCTTTTGCTGACCATTAATTACTGTGGTGAGTCTTATTTTCCCTATTAGTTATTTGCGCAAGGTTTGACATAAGTTCTCTACATAATGAATATTTTGAATTCCTGAGTAAAGGATTAACTGATGTAGACATGTATTTTATTTCCCCCCTCAAATGTTAATGTACAGGTGACTGTATGTGCAATTGGATGTCAATGTCAACTGTATGTAGCCCTCTAAATTTTCCGTTTAACAGATCCGCTTACCATTGCTACGATTCAGGTGCATAATCTCACTCTGCCACATCTAATTTGGGACCGTATGCCATTCTGCTCGCTAAGTTCCAGATACAGATGGTATTCAAGTGCTGAGTGCCATTGCAAAATTGTCAGATTACGCTGACCATTAATAACTATGGTGAGTCTGTTATTTTCCCTATTAGTTATTTGCGCAAGGTTTGAGACATAAGTTCTTTACATAATGAATATTTTGAATTCCTGAGTAAAGGATTAACTGATGTAGACATGTATTTTTATATTTCTTCAAATTAATATAGATATTTATACATTGTTGTCAGAATCATATGATAATTTAGTTATTTCAATGAGGACGTCACTTTTTTTCCCTGGGTTCTACTTACGGTCACAAAATTAAATCATCCTTTAATTTTTAGAATATTTAGTTGATTCAGCTGCTTATATATGTAGTTCATTGCTGAGTGAGTGGGATGCAGCGCATTCCAGTTCTTCGCTGTCTATCCTCGCCCATGTGTAGCAGAGTGCCATTGCAAAATTGTCAGATTACGCTGACCATTAATAACTATGGTGAGTCTGTTATTTTCCCTATTAGTTATTTGCGCAAGGTTTGAGACATAAGTTCTTTACATAATGAATATTTTGAATTCCTGAGTAAAGGATTAACTGATGTAGACATGTATTTTTATATTTCTTCAAATTAATATAGATATTTATACATTGTTGTCAGAATCATATGATAATTTAGTTATTTCAATGAGGACGTCACTTTTTTTCCCTGGGTTCTACTTACGGTCACAAAATTAAATCATCCTTTAATTTTTAGAATATTTAGTTGATTCAGCTGCTTATATATGTAGTTCATTGCTGAGTGAGTGGGATGCAGCGCATTCCAGTTCTTCGCTATCTATCCTCGCCCATGTGTAGCAGAGTGCCATTGCAAAATTGTCAGATTATGTTGACCATTAAGAAGTGTGGCGAGTCTGATATTTTTCCTATTAATTATTTGCACAAGGTTTGACATAAGTTCTTTAGATAATGAATAATTTCAGTGTGGTAAGTTTGTTTATGCATGTTGGTGCGCTGCTATGTTATGGAGATGCTTACCTTCCAATTCCATTGTGCATTCTGCTTCCATTATTTAGTGTGAAGCTACATAGCCTAATTTGTTAGCCTACACTTTAGGGCCATCTCCTACCAAAAAGATGCTAAATACCACACCGAGAAGCATTGAGGCGCCGTTGTATGGTGCTTCTAGCATTGATGTGTCGTTGTATGGCACGGCTTCCATGATACCGCCTCTCCTCATGGTATTCACATCTGTTTTTTCCTTACGTATTTATGCCATGTGTGATGCATGTTCAACTGCATTATCTTCTAGACTTCTTCAATCGACCCATTGCCTTTTCGTCCTTTTTGCAGAGTTCCCAACATCTGAAACATCTGTTACTTCTACAGCGGGTCGCAGATGTACGCCATTTCTGAAGAATGACGGTCAGTTAATTAACTGTGCATTTGCTGCTACGTCTAATCATTTGGTTCCTTACTACTCCAGATTTTACATTGACAAAACAGATTTTCCACATCCACATATATCCTTTGTTCTGTTCGACTTGCAAAGTCAAGTGCTTCTACTATAGATTTCTGCAACACTACATCATCAGTTACCGTCCTTCACTCATCCATAGGTTCATATGTTTCTGCTGGCCAACAAAAAAATTGCTTTGCATGTTTCTATTGGGTAGAGGAAAAAATGGTGCTCACTGGATTTAAATACAGTACAAGTTCCATGTTGCCATAGCTAAAACAATGTTCATTATCCACAATCCTAGGTATCTTAGACTATCTTATCATTGCTATCAGTATTTTCCAATGACCGTATTGATGCATTTATGCTTATTTGCGTCTCATGATGATTTCGTCCTATGTACTTGGGTATATCATGGACACTCTTCTACATGATCATTGTGTCAACATTCTACTATTCTACAAACTTAGTGTTTTCTCTATTTAATGACTCAAGCCCCATTAAAGTGCACCACGTTTCGTCGCCTCATCATCACCCAAGCTGCTTGATGCCTACCATGCCCGTAGACATGGCTACAGTGTTCCATCCTGGATGGCAAGAGACCAATATGGCGATTAGTTTCGTTCTGTTGGGCTATTCAAATTCTTTCCATTCACTTCCTATTGCAACCAGTGTTTTTAAATGTTGTTTACCAGAATAAACACATACTCCTCACCCTAAAGGAATTTAGGAGGCAATCTTAGTTTGGTTTTGTAGACCAAGGAATTGTAGCTTGATCCATATCTTACAGTTATTTTTTCGATTAGCCCGCGCTTCGGGGTTCCTGCTAGTTAGTTATATTGTCATGTCCATCAACCTACACTCATATACAGACTAGTAATTATAACTAGCAAGGTGGCCTGCTCAAATAGCGCGGGTAGCTAGCTTTAGATTTTTTTTTTGTTTTATTTTCTTTCGGTTCAGCCCAATCCATTTTTTCTTGTTTGTAAGGGAGCTGAAGCACATGTGTACAGAGTTTGTATAATATATTTGTTGTCTTTGATATCGTAGTTGTTTTATGAAGAGGCACGTGTGGTTTGCATGTGTGTGTGTGTGTGTGTGTGTGTATATATATATATATATTTTTTTTTTTTTGACAAAGGATTTAAATTACTTTTTTTTTGAAAAAACAGGCAGGAGCGCTGCCAAGTGCCAAATCATTTAAGAAGGTAGAAAGTCCACGTCTTACAGGGTGCTGTTAAATAGAAGGAAGAAAAGCACAGTACACATGGGAAACAGGAGAGAGGTGATTCATTAGTCAATCCAAGGGCGTCCACAGGCCTGTCGACGCAGCGCCATTTCTTCTCTTGCTGGAGCAAACACCTGAGCTGGAGTTCCTGCTGATCCTTCAAAAATTCTCCGATCCCTCTCTTTCCACACATTCCATGCACAGTACAAGATGCATGCTGCAGTTGTTTTCCCATATATACCTATATAATAGTGCTTGCTCAGTTTGTATTTGTCTTTTTGAACCATTGTTGCCAAGTGACTACAAAGAACATCTGCACCTTGTCATAGAATTTGTCAAATAGGTTGAAATTGGTGAATCTCCAGGTCTTCTTAAACAAAAAGCCAACAAATATTATCCAAACGCCTACAAAGACTAGGATTCCACTTGAGTCATGTCATCTTGATTCCATTTGAAGGGATCTTCTTGTACTGGCTGTTCTCCAGGACAAACCTTTGGAAGTGGGTACCCACAAAGACTAGGATTGCCAATGTACATTGAAGCAGGATCATCTGCCTTGAGAGTGTCTAGCTGATGTCCTGAGGGTATTCTTCCAGATAGGTTATTGTAGGACAAATTTAGATAGCACAGCGAAGTCATTCGATATGCTCAAAGGAATTTGGCCATCAAGTTGGTTGTTGGACAAGTCGAGAGACTCCAATGATTGTAAATTGCCAATTTTATATAGGATATTTCCACTTAATAAGTTTGATGATAAATTCAGATTTATCAGTCCAATATGTGAATATATTTCTTGTGGAATTTGCCCGACTAATCGGTTGCAAGATCGATCAATGCTCATAAAAAATATGGTATTCTTACTATACCCAAGCACTTGCCCTTTAATTACTAGCGATAAGGTATCGTTAGACAGACCAACTTCAGAGAAACATATACCCAGATTGATAAACTTCTTGGAAAGGATTTTCTGTC